GATTTTTTTATATAGCTCATATATAATGCGACCCCAGCTTTTGAGCAACACTAGTAGGCCTACCGTAGTCAAATATTGTAGTAATGGGTATCCTCCTGGGCATATTTTATCATAAGTAAATGGTCTTCATTCATTTTTTTACAAAGCTACCCCAAAATGCAAAAAAATCACTTACTGTAAAATATTTGATACAAAGATTTAGATACCATACTTTTATTTTCGTTCATGCCTGAGATACTGTACTTTTATTTTCGTTCATGCCTGACTACAGTAATTCCTTTATCCTGTGCCTGCCTCCTACGTAGTATAAGTGTCTTCCCTTTTGTTTCTACATAAAGAGTAAAACCTTATCCCCTGTATGTCACTTAAAATCAACAAATCTTACTTATTATAAAATACAGATTGTGTGTGTGTGTGTCTGTACATTTATATATTGGATCAGAAATCCTACATTTATCAATCGATTTCAACAAAACTTCACAGGACTATGTAAAATTACCTTGCGGTGGTTCGGACAGCACCAAAAATTGGAAAAATACAATTGTTTTTGCACGAAATCAATTTGAAAACACGATTAAGAGGCATCACTCGCCTGAATGAAAGGGGGACAACTCATATCGAGTTATTATAAAACCCAGGTTGTGTGTGTGTGTGTGTGTGTGTGTGTTCGTTTATATATGGGATCGGATTTCCTACATTTTTCAACCAATTTCAACAAAACTTCACTTTTTTTTGGCAAGTAGTGTTACTTATTGTCTTGCACACTTTTTTCTTTATTTTTACATTCAGAATGCTTTAAAAATTCCATTTACAAGACAATTGTTTATAAGAAAATTCTATTCAATCGATAGACTCATAACGATTGTAAATGTAAACAATGTTTTTGTTTGAGTTTGGGTTTGACCAATTCGTAAAAAAACAAAACAAAAAAAAACTAATTAAGACATGCATGTCCGTCAACCTTAAACAATAATCTTTGTCAATTTTATTTTTCAGTCTTTATGATGGTCGATACTTGATCTATCTCTTACTGTTACATCCCCGGGAAACACCAGGCTCTACTGCTAGTAACTTATATAAATGAAGAATTAATAGATTTTTTCCTCTCAAATTTGCATTCATCTTCATTTTGCAAGTATTTATAGTCCTGAGGTATTACCTTTCCTATGATAAGTTTTTGTCATGATTACCAGTACTTAATGCAGGGTGTCCCACAAGTTGAGGTACATTCTTCAGGTTATCATAATTCAAGTCATTCTAAATAAAAAGTACTCTATACACATATGTTGTTTTTTATGAATTTTAACTCCTCCAGACCAAACTTTACCAGTGTATAGTGAAACAGGTCACAGAAAATGCATGATTTTTAACCTCTTCAAAAAATTACCTCTATTTTTTTGCATAAAGATTCACACTATACTTGAGTATATACAGTATTTGCTTATTTTTTCATTTGTAATAGATATATAAAATTAATAAGTGAATCCTGCATAAATTTGAATATCTGACCTGGAGGCAACCATGCAAATGAAATATCCACTATACTAGTAATTGTCTGCTCAAGCAGCAGGGTAATGTTAGGTGGAGCACACAGGTACTACTCTGATCTTTATTAGAGAGTTATGGAATTTGAAAGTTATATGTATATTGTAGGTGGGTGTGTATGATTACATATAAACAAATAAGAAGACATATACTAAAACTTGGGTTTCTACTATGAACCATTTATTATTTATAAACTCTAGTGAAACAAAATTCTCAATGTCTCTTGGGTGTGTTTATTTTTTTTCTGGTTCAGAATTTAGGGTAAGTAAAGATAAGAATGGTTATAATGATTGAGCTTATGTCAGCTTTGTGCTGTGCTGGAATGACCAAAGTAAAGTTTGTACTTACTTCATTGATAGTTATAATGGCTAAGTTTAAGTCAACCTTGTGATGAGTTGGAACAACCAACTTACTTCATCAGTGGAGTTTTGACAAAACATGTGTGAATACTATGCATTGGAAAATGGAAGAGGGTTTCTTTTTCTGGTCCAGAAGTTTGGCCAAATCATGATAATCATGGTTATAATGGTTAAACTCGTCAACTTTGTGCTGAATTGGAGTGACCAAAGAAAAGGTTGATTTGTTTCATAGGTGAAGGTTTTGGAAGACATGTGCAAACTCTATACACTGGAAAATAGACAAAGTTCAGTTGTCACTGGATAGGGAAATGAATGTGCTCAGCAGGGACACTTTTATCTATGTTCTACTACATCTTGGAGCAAGAGGGAGAACTAGAGAGAGGAAGGAAAATGTTTGTTTTTTAATAGACTTAAACAGTTCCAGTTAACAGGCATTTGACGAAGCCAATTGGGGTAATATAATTTCCAGTTCCTTTATTACTAACATTATGAGAAAATGTAGTTATTTTTCTTTATTATTCCTTATTATTATTTTATTTATTGATTTTATTTCATTTTTTCACAGGGCAAAGAAACAGTACTTTTAGCCTTGGCAACATACAAAGATACTACAATGATCCAATTCAGAAGAACCAATCTGTTATATAAATAAACCTATTTTATTGAGAGGTATTATATATATTTACTAGCAGTAGAGCCCGGCGTTGCCCGGGGATGTAACAGTAAGAGATAGATCAAGTATCGACCATCATAAAGACTGAAAAATAAAATTGACAAAGATTATTGTTTAAGATTGACGGACATGCATGTCTTAATTAGTTTTTTTTTGTTTTGTTTTTTTACGAATTGGTCAAACCCAAACTCAAACAAAAACATTGTTTACATTTACAATCGTTATGAGTCTATCGATTGAATAGAATTTTATTATAAACAATTGTCTTGTAAATGGAATTTTTAAAGCATTCTGAATGTAAAAATAAAGAAAAAAATGTGCAAGACAATAAGAAACACTACCTGCCAAAAAAAAAGTGAGGTTTGTTGAAATCGGTGGAAAAATGTAGGTAGCCTTTTCTCTGTAATCTTTTACAATTTATGATTTTACTTATTGAATACAGTAAAAAAAATTGCATATTTTGCTTGTGGTGATTCATAATTAGAATTCTGATTTGAATATATTTTCCACTCGTTGTTTCTAATACGAAAAATATTAACTTTATTTGGGTTTATTAATTTATTACAAGTACTGTATCTTTCCTTAATAATCTTTGAAATATTGTTGTTTTTTGTCTATCAGATTTCTTATGTTGGCATTTTTAAATTATTTCTTAATACTTTCTTTTAAATATTGAATTAATTTCAAATAGAACCAATGCCTTATTGATCTGCCTTGTAACAAATTGCAAAGGGAATTGTAAAAACGGCCCTAAAGTACGTGGAATTATCTTTCCCTAAAGATAAAGAATTATCTGATTTTTCGATTCATACAATCAGTAGAGATAGTTAGATTATTGTTTAGGTTGACGGACACGCATGTCTTAGTTTTTTGTTTTTTTTACGAATTGATCAAACCCAAACTCAAACAAAAACATTGTTTTCAATCGTTATGATGAGTCCCCCGATTGAATAGAATTAGATTAGAATTTTCTTATAAACAATTGTCTTGTAATTGGAATTTTAAAGCATTCTGAATGTATAAATAAAGAAAAAAGTGTGCAAGACAATAAGAAACACTACATGCCAAAAAAAAAAGTGAATGTTTGTTTTATCGGCTGAAACATGTAAGAAATCCGATCCCATATATAAAGGAACACACACACACACACACACACAAACAACCTGGGTTTTTTAACCCGATGTGAGTTGTCCCCCTTTCATTCTCACGATGTGTCTTAATCGTGTTTTCAAATTGATTTTGTTAAAAAACCAATTATATTTTTCACATTTTTGGCGCCGTTAGAACCACCACAAGGTAATTTTATGTAGTCCTGTGAAGTTTTGTTGAAATCGGCTAAAAAATGTAGGAAATCCGATCCAATATATAAACGTTACACACACACACACACACACACACACACACACACACACAATCTGCATTTTATAATAAGTAAGATATATTTAAATAATATTCACATGTGGAAAACTAGTAAGGACTGAACAAAATAGGTATAGAATAATAGATAGTGTTATGTTAAAGCAAATAGATACAGTGCAACTGCGTTTCACAAATTCCATTCATTCCTGAAGGCTGTTTGTAACCTGAAATGTTCGTAAACCGAAACTATTTTTCCAGTAGAAATCAATGAAAAAAAAAAAGTCACAGTACAATAAAATTGGAAAAGAAAAGCACAGCACAACACATGAATGTATACAACATGGCAGTCAATTCAGAAATTATTCTGTTCATGTTAACTAGGTTCAGCTATGTTGTTCAAGAACTGAAATTTTGTTTGATAACCAAGGCATTTTAATCTTGAATTTTCTGTTCGAAAACTGATTTGTTCGACATTTGAGATGTTCAACAACCAAGCATCCTCTGTATATACAAAATTAACAAATAAATTATGTCTTGATTCAAACATTTGACCTGGAGGTAAGCAAGCAAGTAACATATCCATTACACTAAGATTCTGCTTGTCGATCTGTGTAACCTTCAGGGAATTTCAAACTGAACCCATTATTTAATCTATAAGGGTAGATTGTTACCATTCAGCTGTCCATATCTAGGGATATCTTGTCTAGTATTTATTTAGTACTAATCAGCTTATTACTTGTCTCATTTCCACTGGGTTCAAGTACACACTACCCAGCCCAGGGATTGAACTCACAATTACTACATCACAAAATTCATGGACCAATGCTTTGATCCACTACGTTACTATCCTATGGGACAATTCTGAATGGAGAACTTGAAACCTAAAACATTACTTTTGAAGACTTGCTGTCACTACACTTTCTTTATTAACTGCTCCCCATATCATAATTATTTTTACATTATGCTTACTAAGCCTGTCCTCACAGTCAAGCATATGCACTGATTCTTTCAAAAATCTGACTCTTTCTTCAAGTCTAGGATAAACTCTTATCTATCCTACATATCCTGGAACTCGTACAATCACCAGAGTTAAGCAACACTGAGCCTGGTCAGTACCTAGATGGGTGATTGCTTGGGAATACCAGGTGCTGTAAGTTTGGATGTATCTAATGGATAATGGCTCAGAATTAGAAATTTGAGATCTGAGTTCCAATTCCAGTCAAATTCATTAAATTCATTTACACTCAAATACCATTGGGAAAGATATGGATCCACCTATTCTCCCTCCAGCTATGGGTTAATTAGTAGAACTTGTATTAGTAGATCATTATTATCTCAAAAAAATTCTTACAATCCAAAAATATATTTTTATATAACCTGCAAAATGTTGATAAACTGTAAAAAAAAAACCAAATCAATTAATTAAATGTTTAGAAATGATTCAGTTCAGAAAGTTCTGATAAAAAGTGTGGTATGATCCATCTCCTCCACTAATGGATCTGTCCTGAATGCATATATTCAGGAGAACACTATTGATATGCAGAGTATATTAAAGCTTACTGATAAGCGATACGTATTGTCTAGAACAATTCTATTACTAAAAGCAAGAATAAAATGAAGTAAATGTGGGCCAAAAATATTTCATCATCAGAATTTAAGTAATTTAAATACTTTCATCATTATATAGAATTTATTTATCATGTCACTCAGAGCAAGGCAATAAAGCCACTAAGAAACAAGGGGTTACTGAGTGTTAGAGAATATGAGAAAAAAGAAGCACTATTAAGGAGAGAAAACAATAAAAGAACAAGAATTAAGAAAATAAAAAATAATGATTGACACTGCATTCAAATTTTTGAAAATCAAAGCTGGAAAGCAAGAAGCCAAAAGAGTATTCCACAAGAAAGAAATGCAAGCAAAAAAACTGTTAGCATCGAATTTATGGCTACCTCTAGCCATTTTAATTGTAAAATAATGAGACCTTGTCACCAATCTAATACTGTACTTAAATTCATAAAGTCTAGGTAGCATACAGAAAAGTTCATCAGAACAATTATCATGAAAGTATTTATAGAAATGGCATAAAGAAGCTACTTCACATCAGTGGGAAAGTGACTGAAGCTGAAATGCCCGATTAAAACCAATAACATTGCAGATTCTACTTTGGATTTTATCAAGGCTCTCTAAATATACAGCAGAAGCACCAAATCAAATGTGGCATCAATATTCAAAGCAGAGATTAATGGTAGATTTATAAATATCTAAGATAGTTTCTGGCAAGAAGAATTGTCTAGCACAACATAGTAAACCAAATTTCTTAACTGCAGATTTAGCACTTGATTCAATATAATCTTTTTGCTTCAGGTCAGCAGAAAACATTAAAATTAATACATTTTACAAGGCAGTTGGTGTAACAAATAAATGGAATTCAGAATAAAATAATAAATAAAAATTCCAGTGATAAAACTAAAAGAAATTCTTTGAAAAAGATCATTCTTATAAAATAATTTTTCACTTCTGCTACTACTACTACTACTACTACTGCTACTTGCAATTTTGTATTTTTGATAAAATATTTATCTCATCACATTATTAGCTTTTAAAACTTGCTTACACTTTAACGCTGAAACAAAAGCTATCATTTAATTAATTCAGTTAAAATGTTAATTTCATTGTTTTAATGTTTTTCTAGAATTATCCAAGTTACCAGTTGCAGAATCATGTGGTCTCCATATTTGTCTCATGATTGAATAACATTTGGCAGAAGTTGATGGTCATAGAAATAAACAAATAAAGTAAGAAAATAATGGAAACCATTGTATTTTGTGGCTAGAAATACCAGCCCAACAATATCTTGCAATAAAATACTGTCACACATGAGATGGGGATGTCAATGCTTGGCTGGTGAAAAGACGGTATTGTTTATTTACTAGCATAGTACCCATCAGAAATAATGAGATTATATGCATAAGGACTTGTACTTTTATCTCAGAATAGAGCATCTGGTGGTTCTGCCTAGGATCAAAGTGTCACTCCACCAATCTGTGATTTAGGTTAGAGCGTTATTTCATTGGAATCAAAATACAGTATCTGTTCCTTTTCAGGATATTGCAAAAGAAAAGAAAAAAAGTGAGTCTGATTCAAAAGATCTTGTTATGATCCAGAATGATGATGATATTTCATCATTCTAAAAACAACCTTTCCACCAGTGATGAATGATGATAAGTATATTTCATCATCCTGGAAATAAAGATAAACATTTTATCATTCTAAAAACAATCTTGCCACCAGTGATAATATATGATGATGATATTTCATTATTCTAAAATCTGAAACTTCATTATTATGAAAATGACACTTCCACCACAAGCAAGATCAGTAGAGTAGTGTAGCAGTAGTAAAAAGGAACAACATACATGTATTACCATCACTCCATGAAATATTGTAATTATCGCATATATTTTATTAATTTCATTTTCAGTAAAAACAGAGAAAAGGAATCCTCTATCAACTACAAATACAATGGGGCAATTACTTTAACAACTCAACATTCGACCCTGTTACAATCCTGATCCCTGGGCAGTATCTCCCCATTGCATTATACAGGGACAATTGGAATATTCTGACACTGACCTTGGCATTTTTTTTTATTGCCTATGTTTCTGCATCCCCTCATTATAAGGATCAAGTATTACATTCTACCAATATGGGACAGTTGTTAAATATTTGATCATAATGTAGTATCTGTATAATCTGTAAAAAGTGTTACATACAAAACAAAAAAAATGATATATATACTATAAATTCCCATGTATAATACGCCTTCATCCATAATACACACACACCTAAAATTGTGCTGAAAGTGTGGGAAAATGCTTCTACTCACACATAATACACACCTCTTGTTTGGTAATCAAACCCTATAAATTGGTCCTTTCTAATTTCATTATGGCCAGCATTTCCTACACTTATTTTTAAAAAATTGGTTTTAAACATAGAATAATATTATTCTTATTTAGTTTTATGATAATTTTTAAAGATTTTAGTAGCTGTGCATAATATGCACCCCTGATTTTGCTTATTATTTTTTAGAAAAAAATGCAGATTATACATCGGTAATTATAGTATATATATATATATTGTAATTTAAATAACTGATCCATGTGCGACTTTTAGATAATAAGTGCGACATTACTGTAATTATTGAACAATATAGTTCATGCCACTTTGACAGTAAAATTTAACAGTAAAAATTTGTTCATCACCATATTTGGTATAAACGCAAACACTTTAAAAAATTTAAAATCAAACTCAGCGTTGCTTTGGCGCGTTCAAAAACCAATAACTCATTTTCAATAGCATTTCGGATACAATGACACATATATTTTCGACGTCCTCTTATTACTAAGAGAAAAAAAACAAGAACAACATCTATTATATACCTGAAGATGTCTGTAGGAACAGACGAAAGCTTGTAGTAAAAATAACAACTAATACGGCAGAAATTTATATAAACAAGGATCAATTCATTCATAACGGATCTGGAGGTTTTTGTGTACTATTTGAATTGTTTGCGATGATGGATGTCTCGCCATTTAAATCATTAACCTTTGCATTAGTTTTGTGTGAATAATTCATATATATATATATATATATATATATATATATACCATAACTGATTTAAAAATATTTATACTCTGTAAATTTATATCGAGCACTGTTTTGTAAAAATAAAAATATCAATAAGAACACCGAATTATATATCTTACTGTTCTTTCTTTTTTTACTAAAATGTGTGTGTGTGTGTGTGTGTGTGTGTGTGTGTGTGTGTGTGTGTGTGTGTGTGTTGAGTGAATATCCGAGAGAATGATAAAATTATAAGACAATTCTTAAAACTTTATCTTTGACATTCTTCACTGATGGAACAGTTTCAGCAGAAAAAGAATTTTGTCACGAGAACAAAATGTATATTCATAAGACAAAAACGAGTTATATTAAACAGATGTTTTTTTTTTTTTTATTATTTTAATGGCATTATTTTAGAAATTTTGATTTGGAAAATGTTATTATTATAAATATTGAATATATTTTACTAAGATGAAAATGCATTTAAAATGCCATGATCTAAAAGTTTCCTGCAATTAATATATGACTAGGCTATTTCAGTTTATCCTTTCTTCTTACTTAAATAGTATTGGATCAACGTGAGATACATAAACCTTGAAAAAAAATTTAAATAAAAAATAAGTTGAATTTATTTAAAATCTAATTTCTATAACAATACACAGGGGTCTAAGGGGTTGCTATACATGCATATATTCAAGCATATATATATATAAACTATGCAATTTTTGGATTGCTTATACATATGTGTGTGCATCCCCATATTAAACTGATCAAGTGTCACATTTTACCAATGTGGCATGGTTATCAAATATTTAATTAGAGTGTAGTATCTGTATAATCTGTTAAAATATTATACACAAAAAAAGGTTATATAATAAATGTGTGTGTGCGTGTGTGTGTGTGGTGTTGGGTGAGAATCTGACAATAGTAAATATATAAGACAAGCAACACCGGCTCAAATCACAACCAAAGCAAACAGTATCATTTCAAGATATGGGAGCAGAAGACCCACCAGGGTGCTCCTGTTAAAGCCATAATACCAGTTTTTCTTTTTTCAAAAGGTTTATATATTTTTCTTTTCTTTCATAACCCTGGAAATGTGTACCTGTAACGTCAGTATATCTTTATTTTCTTTAATGCAAATTTTTCTAAAATTAACATTCAAAATGCACTTATGTTCCACTTAAACCTTTATGATCACAATTTTAATCTGGAAAATAATAAACATTGAAGATGCATTTAAAATGCCATGATCTAAGAGTTCTCTACAATTAATCAACAACTAGGCTATTTCAATTTATCCTTTGTTCTTATAAAAAGAGTATTAGAAAAATGCTGGATACATAAACTTTGAAAAAGAAAATTTAAATAAAAAAAATGAGTTGAAATTAGTTATAATTTAATTATCATGATACAGGGGAATCTACAGGGTTAGCATATATACATATATTCAAATATATATTAAACATATATGTAATAAACTTACATATGCAAACATATATATTAAACATGTATATATTAAACATAT